AACCCAAGAATGTTGTGGTTTAGCATTGAACCTAATCGAAGCAAGCAGTGGGTCGGTACACAAGAGACTAGGGCATAGAAAGTCATAGACTTGTTATTACGGATAAAAACAGGATAGACGCGGCGAAGACTGGAGCTGGTTGGCTGACAGTAGGTTTTACCAGAAACGTGGTCCATGTAGCAAAATCTTGACCATGAGACTTACTCAGAGGCTTTAGCCTCGAATTAGTCACCCAGACGCAAAAGAGGGGTAATAGCGCCTCGAATAGCACAGATGGGTGGCAGAGGTCGAATTAAATATTTGAACCATGGAGATAGCAGACGGATTCTACGGGGCAAGAGGGAGACTCTGATAAGACCTAGGGAAAGAGGACTGCGTAACAATATGGCAAACTCTGATCAACATTCCCAGCACAAGAGTGAAGAGGTGAGAACGCCAGCGTGGAGTGTGGAGGGTTCTCATAAATGCCGCTCAAAAGGGCACACCACACTACGTCTAGATAAGCACGGTAAAAAAATGTGCTTCCAGATACACGCCTTATTGCCAAATCATTAGCTCTTTATATGGACGATTACTTTGCTGTTTGGCCATAAGGCAAAGATGGCTTGGGGGAGAGGCTGGATTAGCCTCGAGTCTAGCTAGGACTATCACGCTTCCCATGACATGAGTATTACATACACAAAATAGGTAATAGCACAAGCCCAAACATAGTCAAATATTAGACGATTGTACACTATTTTTTGTGTAAGCAAACAGCTGCCACCGAACGCACTTCTGGTTAGGGAAATTAACTTCGCTCGTTTGAAAGCATGTAGAGTAAGGTTGAAGTAGCCTCCAAATCATGGGATGTCTCATTAAGATCCCGAAATTAGGTGTATAAAAAAGAGGTTAGGTTTGTGGTCGCCACATTTTCTCTTGAGTTAGTATATTTCTGCTCTATTTCGTAAAGTATGGAATCTTGCCTTGATGATATCTGTCACAGTGCAGACGAAAGCTTACCAGTTTTATAGGGGCCGCAAGATGGTGAGCCGAGGACTTATTCGAACAATTCAACAGTCTTCCCTACGCGGCAATCTTCCTTCGGTTTCCGGTGAGACCACATCACGAATTCCTTCCAGCCAACTTTCCTTTCAAACGGGAGAGTCGTGTCACAATATTTTACTAAGAAATTTTTCGAAACCCAGTTTTTCTTCAAATAAATCGCAGAGGGTGTGCTATTTAATGGGGCGTTTTTTATAGAAGTTATATGGGTAAATGCAGCTATTTGACACTTACTCATTGAAAAAATTGTAGCTGGATCGGGACCCATCGGCCAACCTTTAAATTGCCAGGCTTGTCCCTGAACGAATACAGCAACAACTCTGTTCCATTCTTCAGGAAGAAGCTTATGAGGCTGATCTATTACTCTGTATGGTATCGTGCGGCCATTAGGCTTTTGGCGCTGAATCAGAGTTTCATTTTCACGTTTTGATCCTGAAGCCTGTTTTTCTTCAGATGAGATATATTTTAGGTCCTAAGAGATGAAGAGAGTAGTGAAATATAAAATGAACAAATGAGTCTAAATACAATTAAAAAGTTTCTACCAAACCGATCTGAATTATAGAGCTAAAATATTCAGGGTATCGATACATTTTAATGAAATGATAACTCTGATTTACAATAATAAAGCCTAATTTTTCGTGTGCCTGTAGTGAGAGGTAACTATATACATACCTGACTAAAGAAATTATCAACCAACGTACACATACACAATTGACTAAAAACTTAGGAGTAGATGTGACTGTTCTATGCGATTCAGGAGTGGAGAAGGGAAGCGGCCCAGCTTCATACGGGTTTTTAATCCTTGAATATTACTTAAGCGTGGACCGGAATTGAAGGTTCATATACAGACAGATTCCAGACATAGTTATTTTCATGCGGCAGAGAACAATTGAGAATCGGGATGAAGGGGGCTAAATTAAATCCACAATTCATGACACAGAAGACTCACGAGCGGCATTTAAAACAGACGAAAGTGATTGTGCTTTACTGAATTCACTCGAAGTGACACTCCCAAGCTACAGAGGGAAACGAGGACACAGGATGGTGTGAAAAGGTAAATGGGACGTTTGAGATGGAAGTTAAAGAAAGATGCAGCACTGGCAAGTAGGAAAACAAATAGAGGAGAGAAGTGATATCATAACGATTTAACAGGAAGTTGGCCAATTGGATTGCGTTCACGTGTGGTGATAAACTGTAACTCTGTGCCAACGATGGTGGCTCTCAATGACGGTGCCATGAGACAGCTGGGAATGTACAATTCAACGATCTGAGGCTTGAAATCTTAATGAATATTATGGAAGAGGACGTAGGACTGGGTACGTTCTCTGTCGCTCCGACCAAGTAGCGAAAACGAGGTCAAACCAATAATATACAGCTAAAGGGGATTGTGATTAAACAGAAGACCATATATCATAATCTTCATATCTACGATATAATCAAATTAACTTGTTTGTATCAAAGTTTACACGAATTAGTTATTCTGTCTAAATATATCAGCAGCACGATTAAGAAAATACCTGCAGAATGTCTCTGGCATTATACATGGTTATGAGACTTGTAGGAGCAGCTGGAATAATGATGATAGGAATGCGAGATGAACGACCACGAGGACGAGAAGAAAGACGAGCTTCATTTGCGTGCCTTAAGGCAACACCTCGGTCTAAAAAATAAGATATAATAAAATGATTACAGTTTCTAGGAAAAAGGTTAGTTTGTGACAAAAAATTGTAAGAACCAAGAGACTATTAATTTAAGATAGGATAGTAGATACAATAATGTATAACGCTAACGAAATATAGGCACATAATTCAACAAACATGGATCGGTCGCCAGATTTGCAGAACGGG